CTGTTGTCAGCTCCATACTACAAACTGCAACAAAGCCAGGCATGCAGTTTTCACATTGCAACACAACAAACTGCAACAGAAGAAACCAATAGCCATTAGTAGATGCAGGACCACCATGCACGCAAAGGCATCTACCACCTACCTCTTCTCTGCGCTGGTATTCAGTCAGAGTGCTATTACATTGCTGCTGTGGCACCTGTTCTTCGACTTGACAACTCCTGTGGGGCATGTTGCCAGGTAATGTAATTCTATTCATCCAACAGACAACCTCCATCATTTTTGTTGCCACTACAGCATGCAAACCCCTTTTCCTGTTCTCTGCCTTGTCGATATCGAATGATACCACACCAAGGATCAAATCAGTGTTGGGTGTACCAAACTGAAGAGGCTCTGAAAGAGCCTTGTCAGGACTGGCCCCCAAATCCATGTACAGTACTGGAAAGCCTGAGCTGCCTGCACCGCACACAGAAACAATCAAACAAACCGTTCGCGCCTATAACTTCCAGAAGCATCAGCCAGATTGGTGTATACAAAAGACCACTGTCGCGATGGCACAACAGCATCGTTGGAAACAGCAATGCTGATACTGCTGGGGGAAACATAGTTAGCAGCAAAAGCATGCACCACCTTGTCAGCAACCTGCTGAACACCTAATATGGCAGTCCGCACATTCTCCATGGTGCACAAAGTAAGTCTCTTGTATTTCTCATGTATGCCATCGACAGAGAAAACCCCAAGACAAATGGTCACTCCACAACACTCTCCAATTACCCCAACACAGCAACATAGCCAACACAACCTGCTTGGGGGTGAATATAACAGGTGCTGTTTTGTATTGCCACAGGCCCTGTAACACTGATTCTGATCAATTCTTTGAGTCGCTTGTATCTGAGGAACCACACTATGCAAGAAAAAGCTCCTCCACCTACCTCTTGGCATGCTGGCAAAAGATGAGGTGAGACACATTGTATGAGGTCCAGGCTCTGACATTGTGTGGCAGGGGTCTTTATCGCCAACAAAGAACGAAGCAACCTGGATGGACCTCCTTTTTGCATCATTCCTTGGTTCCAGACGGAAGGCAAAGACTAACGCACTATTGAAAACTCCATTATACTCAGGGTCTGCAGTTGGCGCTATATCATCAGAGGTCAGCACTCCTTCGACATTGACCTTCAGGAGCGCAATATCAACTGATTTCAGATCAGCTACTTCAGTTGAATCTGTCCCTTCCAGTGGATGTGAAGGATGGTAGTGAGTTTCCTCAGCCCGCACTATCTGTAAAGAGACACCAACATGCAGTTGGCTGTGAGAAATGTTCAACTTTTGACTGCATGAAAATGATGTGTAGGTGGGCCTTGATGCAACTCTTGATAAGGAGCGAAGCCACACGGCAGGTGATTCCATAAATCCAATCCTTCATTTCGGTTGTCATTGTTAACATTGCAAGCAGAACAATCGAGCCACACGTGGCACTTGCACATTAATACACGCTGCTGGAGGCATGTGGTCACACAAGTCACGAAACACTTCACAACTGTCCTTTGCCTGCACCAGTAAGGACTGTCATGAAGGTAGTTTAACTAAACAATTACTGTCACTGGCAACTAACACCAACACCACAAGCACCAGCCAACTTTTGAACACATGGCAAGCACCCATCTGAACTACAGACCTACTGACAAGGTATCTTTAGGAGTTTCATCAACACAGTGTAGTTCTTAGGCCCCAAGCTTCAAAGTACATTGCCAGCGAAAACCATCCAGTGTACACTGGAGTTGCGGTGGACTTCTGCTGTCATTATCTCTCACTCTGAATGAAAGTCCCCACAATGTTGGGGCCCACCATTTGGGGCCCACATGGTTAGCATGCACGGCATCAAGCAATCAACATACATCCAGGAGGGACCCCTTTTGTAGTCGACACTGCCTATGGAGTTGTTACCACACTTAGAGACATGGCAGTAGCTCCAGGAAGAGACACCCAAGGACTGCCACAATTCAGCATTTGCAGTGCCAAAAGGGGTGTTGGCAGCACTGGCATTGCAGTTCAACTGTGAGAAATTACAGAGGGTCTTATTTGGCTCCGCACACAATGTACACTGCAGCAGTCAATGCAGAACTCTCCAATGACTGCAAGCATGGACTCAACCATCCTGTTATCATCAAAATGCCTGCACCAAAGCCAAGTCACACCACAAGCTTGCTACCAATGCAGTGCCAACCAGGGCACATTATATCACCTTTTCAGCCATCACAGTGCCATTTTCATAGGTGCCAGTTGCACCCAGGGCCACAAGAGCATTCGATCCAACAACCCATATGCAGTGGTATGCTGTTAGGACATAATTTCCTCGCACGATAATGCCTCCACAAACAGGCTCCCTCATAGCATTCAGAATAAATGCGAGATAAGGATGTCGACCTCTTGCGATGTTCTGCCACTGCAAACAGGGACAGCAGTCAGATACATGACATCTGTGGTATTTCAGGGCAATTGCTGGCTTCCTTGGCCTTGCAACCATGTCCAAGTTGGGCACAGACAAGATTTGCATCTACAGTTGGAGTGTGCGCATGGGCTTGAGGCATGGCACTTTGTAGCATCGCCATTTCGATGTTATCAGATTCAAAATTCCAGTGGCTGTGGTCACCAGCATGCCTATTCAGAAGTGATTGTGATTCTAAAATGGATGCTCTTCGCTGCGTGCTCTTCAAAGATGCTGGAGTGTTTGATCGTGCTGTGTGCCATCCTTCATTTCTTGTTCCAATTTACATGGCAATTCCACTCCCGTTTGGACACAAAAGCTTCCAACCACACCAAATTCAGCAAGGAGGCAACCAGCAGGTAGCCAGTGGTTCCTGTTGCAAACCTAGGGAGACTGCACTTGAGCTGTCCGCAAACATTCTACATCGGCAATTCTTGAAAGCCACACGTGGGCATACATCTTTATGGCCATCCACTGGCAGGCTGAAATCCAAGGTGGCCTGTGGCATCTGTCCAGCAGTGTAGGCCTTGCCACTGTTTAAGGCCCACTCTTGTTCCTTGTCAACAGAACTCTCCTTCGCCAATCCTGACACACCATACCCTGCAGCCAGGCACCAGTCATCGTCTTCCAACTGGCAATCGCAACAACGGTAAAGCCATTCTACATCTTGAAACCAGCTTTCAATGTTTGTTGACAATCAATGCAGTATTTGTAACATGCTTGGCACATTCACAGTCTTGTGACAAACGGTCAGGCGTGCGGTATGCTCATAACAGGCACAGTTGAGGAAAGGCATGAGCGGGGGCAAATGGTACCGGAGGCAAAACTGGAACCAGAAGATTGCCAATGTAGGCAGGGAATTATAGAGCACAGAAGCTTACAGATTGCATAGAGGCAGTTTGCCTCCACACCACAACTGCTTCCTCTCTGGCACACTAGTGCCACAAAAGGAGGTAAGGGTTGCACAGAAACAGTACTGGTTGCATATTTTATGATGATTACTGCAACATGTGGTTGCAAGATCTCAATTGCATTCTTCTATCCAGTTCAGAGTGGGAATGCCCAGTAATCACAAATGGAGTCTAGTTGGACATTTACAGTCGCTCTCCTTCAATCAACCAAGCAGACTCAGCAGCAACAACATCTGCACATGTTCACCAATTTTCTAGAAGAAATGTGTTACTACAGAGCCACATGCCCCTTACCACTATTTGCACTTTCACTGGCCAGGCATGCAGGCATCAATCTGACAGCAGCTGCTATCATAATCAATGCATAAATAATGGGAAACAAAGTGTGGCCCAATCTCCTGTTGTGTGGCATGGCTTGTAGGCGTGTGTTGCAGCAGTCTTACTCCAGTCCGGTGTCCTTTCCCAGCTGTGCTGGACGTTCCTCCTTCAGTGCCTTGCCAATGCAACCACAGGCATAATCAGGAATGCTGTCAAGCAAGAGGGCTCATAAACCACTATGCCACAGCCCAGCAGTGGTGGGCTGGAGACAGTGGAAAAACTTAGCTCTGAACCAATCAGGCACATGGCCTGTGTTGATTTCATCATGCCCTGCCACGCCAACCTTGCACACGGCTGCGCAACCTGACTGCAGCAAATACTGTCAACACTGCCCTGACATTTGTTCAAACACCAACTAATAGCAAGTCTTGGGCACAAACTGCCCAGCAGCACACTGCACCCTTCCACAGTGGCTGCTCCTCAATTTTGTGATGTGCAGGCCAATGCGTAGGGGTAGCTACCTCCACACAAATGGTGATACCGTGATGTGCCATCGCTGTATGCAAGACTGTGGCTGTGCTATTAAGCTGCTTGACAGCTGCTGGTCAAGAGTTTCCATTGCCACAACCTACAAATGTGGATTCCTTTTACCCTGGATACAAATCTGGGTACTATTTGTCAACATCTACGATTTTATTCAAAGGTATTGCAAGAAGGTGGACAGCCAGCAGGCATTGTACTTTGTTCTACATTCTCAATATGTACGGGGATGTGCTCACTTTGCAACGATGATTGGGGACGGATTCCACTTCCTGAGTGCCAGATATCACGCGGTGGCAAGGATAGGAGCTGGCTGGATGGGAGGCTGGATGCCATTTCCCAACAATATAGTGTGCAAGGTAAGTGTGGATGCTGCCTATGGGCCACAAGCCTTCTTAGTGCAGAAAAAGAGATTGAAGAGAAGTGCTGCCCGTACATATTGCATGCCCTATTGGTGGTCGTTGTACAGTGGTAATGCACAAGGCAGTATGACCATCAGTGCTGCCAATCATGTCAAGTCAAACTTGCAGCCGTACTGAATGCATCCCCAAGGCGAGATCTCCACTGAGTGCCAAGATATGGTGCAGCCCTGCAGCTTCACCCATTCAGTGTCATGGAGGGGCGTTCCCAAGTGTTGATCTTGTTGTTGACATGGTTTTATTGCTACTATCCATCTAGCAGCCCAGCATACTGCACGTGTGCCCAGCTTTGAACATTAATTCCCAGAGTTTACGAAGAATCCAAGTGACAATCCTGCACACCACCAAGATTGGAAACAGAACCTTGCGCTTGAAGCGAATTCAGAAAGGCCAGCAGTGTCTGCCTTTCCCGCTGATGTTCTAGCTTGTATGTTTTGGACAATTCTGAACACTACTGCCACCATAGATTGGTGCTGTCGTGCCTGTATCAAGATCCGTGTCGGAGCGAAAGGGTGGGTCGTGGCATGATGCTTGCAGACTGTGGCAAAGAAACTGCCACCCTGAGTCTTTGTCCAGACTATATCAACTGCAGAGAATTGTTTGCCAAAAAGTATTGCATTTGTACAGCGAACTGGGCCGATGTCATGGTAAACATAAACGCGAATTCAGCGATGCACAAATTGCACAATTGATCGCTTGCCACTGTTATGCCAATGGCAGGATGACCCGACAGCACCAAGAGTTGCCAGACACAGGGTGTCAATCAAAAACATTGTGCCATGTGTGCACATCTTGTTGAAAACTTGGCGCTGTATCCTTGCGCCCCCTTCCTATCCTTCTATCTCTTAACTGCCTTTCCTATCTGCTATCCATTATTTGTATCCCGCCCTATTATCCTGTACCACAAAATCCAATACAATCATCGCTTATGGCTCAGTGCACCAACTTTGGTCTCAACGTTGCTTGTGTGCACACCCAATCCCACCAAGTAAAGCCTTACAAGCTAAGGGCACGCTGCCGAATGCTCACGGCAAGTCACCGAACATCACCTGTATGGCACCATTTCGCATTCAGTCTCCTACTCTTTGGACAGCTCTAGGCACCACCTCCAAATCGCAGCCCTCACCTCGTCGCCTGGAAGTGGACGCACGGCTGCTCTGTGGTGGGTCTGAGGACACCAGAAATCTGCTGTCAGCTTGGATAGCTGACATATCGGGGACCCGCTGTGCAAGACAGCTCGAATTCGGGTACATTGGCACTGCTGAGAACATACCCAGACACAATTTCTGCCGGCTGCCCATGGCCATGGGTGTCGTCGAGTTCTGGGGTGGAGCCTGTTTGAGCACCCCGTCCCGTTTGGTCAGCTCCAGGACCGGCCACCCTGCCCAAAGGGGCCTCGTTACGGCGTTGTCACAGGGCGCAGTCGCGCTGGCACCCAGCGGAGAATCTGGCAAGTGTTTAGTCAAGTGGGGGGCGGCGAAGACGGGGAACGGCCAACCCTTTACCAGATGAAACATGTCAAAAGATTTTTGGTTGCTTTCTTTCATTTCTCTAATTGACTGGGGCCCCGCGTGCACACTGAATGCCACAACATCATTTTCATGAGCGACAAGCTTTTTGGTACGGATGAAGTCCTGCTCCGCATTGCGACCGGACGACGCGTCGGTCACGGGCGGGTTGGAGTGCAAATGGGAGCGGAGGAGGAGGACAACAAGGCGATATGATATTCATTTACGTGCACAAACCCTTCAATCTGCCTGCCGTGCAAATGTACATGCGATTACAAACAGTTGATTGAGTTGATTGGCTTCCTACGCCTGTCTCCCCCCAAAGCTCCAGATGCCCGATTCCTCCACCCCGATCCTCCTTCCGCACCGCGAGCAGCCCACCGTCTCTGAATTCCGGCTGCAGCTGCACCACTGGTCGATCGACTCCCGCAAACACAGCCGTCGACACCCCGACACATTTCGCAAACTGGGCTCCCCTTTCGATGCGTGTGTTTGTGATTGCGACTGCCGCCGCCAAAGCCCCGAGAATGCGGAGGCTACCGTTCGGTCGTGCCCCGACGCGCCTGGGCGCTGATCGAATTCCGCCGGGTCTTTGCCGATCTGGACAGACCCACGTTTCCCTACACTGCCCCGCATCGATGCCCGTGTGCAAAGCCCCCGAGGGGGCGATCTCGCTAAGCTGGCGTGGGCACCAGTGACACAACCGGGGGCGGTTGGTTATTGGCCCAACAAGTAAATAAGAGAATATAATTTTTCCTGGAAAGAGACCACCTAGAGGGGCTCTCCACGCCATCCAGAGCGCACATCCATCTGTAAAGGGTATGTGCAAAGGGCCAAGATGGTCGGCGGGCGAAGCGCGAGGCGGGCCACAAACCCGCCACCGTCGATGAGTAAGTCATTTTTCCAACCTGGCATATCGTTGATCCCAAAGGAAACGCCACCTGGGGACGATCTCGCCTTTCCCTGTCGCTCACCGGTGGTGGGATGGCGGCGGCGATGGCGGCGGGGTGGCACCCAGCTCCTTCGGGACTTGGATGGATCAGATGTCCTCCATCCCCGCAGGCGCCAGGTCCCAGCCCCTCCGCCGAAACTCCTCTCGCCCCTAAGGCCACCACAACTCGCATCAACGGATCCGGTAGTCGAAACTCCGGGCGCCGACACCATCTAGGTTTTCTCTTTCGGACAGCTGCAGAGCGTCTGTACCCCCCCCCCCTGGACCACCATCGTGGGAAAGGAGACCGAGATCCTGCCCGTCCCCCGTGCAACCGAGCCAATGCGATCCGGCCGGGCTGGGCAGCTGCGGGCTCCCTTTTGGCGCAGCCCTTGTCCATGAATCGGTACCCGCCCAACTCAAGGTCAGGAGGGCAGGGGCAATCTTGCCCTGACGAATGCCGAGTACTGAAAGCCCGGGCACAAGTCGCGCGAGGTGCAAAACTCCGCTCGCAGCAGGCCACCCCGCGGGGGGCACTGACTCTTGACACCCGTGGCGTACCATACCGCTTGCTGGTGACCCGGCAGCACGTGTTCCGCTCCCTTCCGTCGGTGTCGGGGCGGAACTCTTCGGCGCTGGGCGCTTTTGTGTTGGCAGCCTGCCCAGGTCCACCAGCGTGGCATGCAGCGTCATTCCCACGCGGCCTGACCTCGGCAAAAGACGACAAGAGGCGTCCAGTCTTGAACAGGCGTATGCGGAGCCACCGCATTGCCACGTGGTCCGGTGCTGACAGCGGCTTTTCAAGAGGTGGCGAGACCGGAAACGCGGATCGAAATTGCGCAAATGTTAATGTGTTCCGATTAGGGAACCCTGGGTGGGCGCCTTGCGAATCCGCAGTTAGGCTGCACCGGGTGCAGTGGGCAAGTGCCAGCAGCCTGGTTGTCTTTTCGCACTGACAGCAGTTCTCCCTGCAGCTTGGATCCATTTGTCAGCAGGCTGCGTCCGAACGGTGGCCAAGAGTTTGTGGACTCTTGGCAGCAGTTGCAAAGGGACCCAAGGCCTGTTTTCTGGTAAACCCTCCCCTGCCTTGTCAGGCTTGTCTCGGATCTTGAGCGGGCTCCTCATTAAATGGGTGCCCAAAGGCCCCCAACAACCTTGCTTTGCTCCCGGCAGACCGGCCCTTGGAATTTGTGTTTCACATGGGGTTTGGAGTATGAAGTAACAGCGCCTAAATTCTTGTGTCGCGTGGGGACAATTCAGATTGACGATCCCGGACATTGTACAGAAGGAACATACCTGATGTGCTTTTCAACACGGTTGGCCAACCCACGGGTCGGGCGAGGAGAGGAGCGGTCAAACGGAAATGGATAGAAAGCTACTAGCATGGAATGCTTGACGGTGCTGCAAGCAACTTCCTGGACAGCATTTGCCACGCAAACACGTAGTTGAGGACGTACCTGGTGCAGAATCTGACGCATCTCAGGACGTATTCCTTGGCCCGGACTGAACATGCGGAATGCACTTGTTCTTCCACTGTTTTATGTACAGTCGTGTCCGCACTTCCCAAGCCTGATTTCACCAAGACAAGGGAGTAATACATTGGCTTGCTGGGAAGAGGCAAGGAATGGGGCGATTCGCGCTGGAGATGACGCGATGGCTGCATCGGACGCCGCGTCCTGCCAAAGTCCTACCGCCTCAACTCGTGAGGCGTCAAACCAGTGATGGGCCCGCAGCAACGCAACATAACCCACCAAAAACGGGCGCCGCAATCCATGAGCGCACATCCACGCGTGTCTCAAGGTCATTTACCCAGAAGGCCGCGGCTGGCCGCCCTGCCGCGCGTGGTGGCCGTCAAGCCGGCTGCCCTCCGGTTGCCGTCAAAGTCGTGGCTCCCCCCGCGGGACCTTCGGCGCATGTGAGACGTGCGAATCACCCGCCCCCTCCCGTCACACCCGCCAACAACATTGCCGTCCCAGGCCCTTCGCACCCGCACGCCGGGCCCCTCCCACCTCCCCACGCCCCTTGGGGGCCGCATTACGCCCTGTCGGCATCAATACGCACACCCACCCCAGGCATTTACGAGAGTCCCCACACAACTCCGACACCGCCCATAAACGCCCCTCCCCACGCCCCCCAAGCGCCCACGCGCGCCCGCACCTTACTCCAACGACCGCTGGGAAAAATGAAGTCGTTCAAGTACGTGCTCCTCGGCGGCGGCACGGCGTCCGGCTACGCAGCTCGGGAATTTGTTCAAAGGGGGGTGGAGCCGGGGCAGCTGTGCATCATAACTTCGGAGGCCGTGGTGGCTTACGAGCGGCCTGCGCTGAGCAAGGGCTTCCTGCTGGCGGACAAGCCGGCGAGGCTGCCCGGCTTCCACACCTGCGTGGGCAAGGGCTGGGAGCGGCAGACGCCGGAGTGGTACGCCGAGCATGGTATCGAGTACATGACGAATGTGCTGGTGCGGCCGAAAGCCGGATCGTACACTGGCGCAAGGCCCGCCACGCTCAGGGAGTTGGGCGTCCCCGGCGCTGAGCTGGAAGGGATCCATTACGTGAGGGAGGTGGCGGAGGCCCAGGCTCTCTACGATGCGATCGCCGATTGCAAGGCAAGGTCGGCGCGCGCGGTCGTCATTGGCGCGGGTTACATCGGCATGGAGGTGGCCGCGGCGCTGGCGGGCAACGGGCTGGCCGTGACGATGGTCTTCCCGGGCGGGATGCTCATGGAGCGCCTGCTGCCCCCCGAGGCTGCGTCGTTTTATGAGGAGTATTATAAGGAGAGGGGCGTGGAGGTGATGTGGGGGCAGCGGGGGGCGGGCTTCGAGGGGGAGGAGGGGCGCCTGGAGGCTGTGCTGCTGCAGGACGGGCGGAGGATCGAGGCGGGCATGGCGGTGGTGGGCATAGGTGAGTGGGGCCGGGAGGAGGGGAGGGGTGGTGGGCGACGGGGCCGCGAACGGCGCTTTGGGCCAGGTTCGGCCATGACCGTTGAAATTGTCGCGGCGCGAAACGCGAAACGCGGAACGCAACGCTGGTTGGGGAGTTTTTCTTTTTTGTTCAGATTGCTGTTTTTTAACCCGCTTTTGCCTTGCGTTGGTCGTGTTTTGTTTTGTTTTTTGTCGATGCGCGTTGCTCGGCGGCGCTTTCTTGCGAAGCGCTGGCGATTGTTGGATCGCTGTGTTGGCCCGAGCGGCCTTTCCTTGCCTGGGCAGACCTGCCCAGGCAGAGCCTCTCAACTCGTCAAGATAGAAGTGATTCCACGTTGTTTTTTCAAACATTGCAATATGCCGCCCTTCACCTGCCTGGAGACGTCAGCTTCACAGTGCGCATTTGGGTGGGCATGCGAGTGCACTCCTGAGCTCGAGGTGGGCAATGTCCATGAGAGGACAAGCTGGATGTCTTGCATTGCACCATTGTGTGCACTGCATACGGTACCAAATCCACATGCTCGAATGCATACAGCGCTGTGTGCAACATCCTGAAACACTGCAGTTGGAGTACTGTATTTGAGCTGGTAGTCCAGGCTGCTGCAAAGGGCAGAAATAGGGTGAGGTCATTTCAGCACAACTGAGTGGACTGGTAGAGAAGTAGATATGTATCTGCAGGGAGGCCATCACAGACAATTCTCCCATGTTGGCAAAGCATACCACTGTGGAGTGTCCCCTAGCTGTTTTCGCCTGTGCTTCAAAATTGCACTCGCTCATGTCCTAGGTAGATTCAGAAACAGTGAAAACCATTGGGCATTGCCTTACCCACAGAGCAACCTCTGGTGAGCAACGGAATGTTGCATTTAGTGGCGTCGCTCACACAGATGGAGGCATTGCCACATGCCAAGTGCAAGTAGTTGGCATTTCACATCAAAATGCTCCCACATAACCAGAGTTCATTCATTCTGTTCACATTGCCACTTTGCGCTTGTGCTCTTTGTGCATCCCTGCTGCAGCTGTGCTCCACAACTGTGCCAGGCTGTACACTGGCTGTAGATGTATTGTGGCAATTATGCCAGGTGGGAAATGGGAATACAATAGTCACTGGGACCAGTTGAACCTACAAACAGTGTTGAAAATAGACAGACAGGCAGAACAGTGAAAGGTAGTGCTTCTTCACCGTGTTCCATGCACAAAAACAGCAGCCACAACTTGCCGTGAGTATGCCATGGCAGGAATGGCAGCAGTTGCGAGCATTATGAACAGAATGTTTTGCACCACACTGTGTCGCATTCTGGCAATCCACTGTGGAGCTTCTCAAAACATGACGTACAATGCACTGGCAACAACCTCTGGCATTTTAAATCCTTTTTGGTACCAGTTACTTCTGTGGGAAACAAGGATATCCTTCAATTTCATGGGGAGGCTATAGCTCTTTTGAGGGGAGTTAGAATTGAAACATTGCAGCCTGTGGATTCCTGGATCTGATAGATGATCCCCAACGATGCATCGTCGTGATACTTAAGGGGAAGGGTGCCTTGCCAGTATGGGCCCCCCAGAAGGAGGCTGCAGCTAATAGATCTGTTGCCTCACAGTACCCAGCGTGCACTTTCTTGTGTGGAGATCCAGAAGTCATGTTTTTCCATAACGATTCCAAATTTGGGATTCAGTTTGCCTCACTTTGCTCTGAAAATAATTCGCCTACTACACACATAGCTGCGGCCCCCTTTGCTGAAACGACCGTCTATGCTGAGGGTTTGTCCTGCGGGGTAGTAGAGACTTGTTCTTGACTTCATTGATTATGGTCGTCTAGGGCGAACAGCCACCTAACTCACAACCAAATGAAGGGCGATCCCCCAAAGGAAATAAGATTTGAGGCGCTCACTTGAAGTGAGAGTTGCCGCGCCCCGGGACATAAATTTCTTGACGCCAGGCCGTGCATCTGTCATTCGATAATCAAGGCCCTGTGGGCTCCCAAGAATTGGACTCTGGAATTCAGGCCCTAAAAGTTGAGCCGCCGTCTCAAAATGGATGGCTGCCGTTGCGCTGAGCTCAGATTTCTGACGCCTCGGCGCGCATTTTTGTTGCCCAGGCGCCAGGGTGAACAAGGAGCTCTTCGAGGGCCAACTGGACATGGCCAAGGGCGGCATCGAGGTCGACGGCCGCCTGCGCACCAGCAACCCCGACGTCTACGCCATCGGCGACGTGGCCGCCTTCCCGCTCGTGGGCTACGGCGGCCAGCTGCAGCGCCAGGAGCACGTCACCAACGCGCGCCTGTCCGCCGCCCACGCCGTCTCAGCCATCATGGCCCCCGAGGAGACCGGCGACTACGAGTACCTGCCCTTCTTCTACTCGCGCTTCTTCGCCCTGTCGTGGCAGTTCTACGGCACCAACAAGGGCAAGAGCGTGATGTTCGGCGACAAGGGCGCAGCCAAGTTCGGGATGTACTGGCTGGCGGAGGGCAGGGTAGTAGGGGCGTTCCTGGAGGGGGGGAGCGCGGAGGAGTTCGGGTGGATCAAGGCCGTGGCGCTGAGGCGGCCGGAGGCGCCGGCCACCGAGGAGCGCCTGGCGGCCAAGGGGCTGGCGTTCGCGGCGGCGGTGGCAGCGCAGGAGGCGTAGGTAACTGGGCGGCGGGGGGGGGTGGAGGTCGTGGGGGACCCAATTGGTGCACAACTGCGTGCAAATGTTAACGCGATTTGGCGCAAGTCGCAAAATCGCCCTCAAACTGCGTGGGGATGAAACCCGAAAGAATTGCATGAATGGCGCACAATTGTGTACATATATGACGCGATTTGGCGCGAATCGCGTCAATTTGCGTTATCTGCGTCAATCCAGTGAGATTGGACGGGCCCTGCAAGGACTTATGCAAGGATTCATGCAAGTGGTGCAAGACGGCTGTGTTCAGGAACGGCTGTTGTTCAGGAACGGCTCTAGTTTGACGACGCGGGCAGCGGCGCACTTCCTCGGTGCTTTGTTGGGGGCGGGGCTGCATTGCTGAGAATGGCGGTGTGGGTTAGCGTAAGTTAATAGAATCGGTGCATGGCGGCTGGGGCCAGATAAGGCTTTTGGATAGAATCTAGTTGCACGTGATTGGCTTTATGTTGGAAGGGATCGCAGATCTTGTACTGGGCGCCTTCCTCTCAAGCAAGAGGCGGGAAGCTTGGCTGCAGAGCAGCAAGCAACACAGGGTCGGCGCCATGGGAGCATGCTGGACACTTGCTGTTGCGCTGACGAATTTTTTGTGTCTATTTGTTGTGGTGTAACGTGTTGTGGGCTTGTAGATTTGTGAATGTAATGGCGCGGCATTAAATTCTGCTTTCGCTGAATTTCTGTCACTGGTGGATCATTGTCCTCGAACCCATCAGCGGCATCCTGCCCATTTCGCACCATTTGTGACTGTGATTGGGCTGCGATAAATTGTGATAACAATATGTGTTGCCTTTAGTATTGACATCAGTAGCCAGTGGCGATATTGCGAACATGTGAAACGGGGGCCAAATTATGTACCACAGATCACGGAAGATCACGCGCTTTCCCCTCCCCCCCCCTCCTTGTTCGGCATCAGGGTTGGCGTGCGTGCCCCTGTGCTATCTTATATATACCCATCGCGTTCCTCATCCAAGGCAATGCATCAGCAACTCCCCACGTTGCCACGTCGAAAACCAGACCAATTGACACATTCAATACCAGTCTAAAAATAGGACGCCAATCGCAGCAGAAGTGTGAAGACGTTGTCATAACAAATGTGGTACTTGTGCCATGCGTCGCTGCACCTTGTTGGTGGTGAACGCGATGCCACATTATAGCAGCTGCATAAACCCACGCTATCTAATAGATCCCCCGCGCTCTGCTGCAGTGACAATGTTCGATAATGCGGGGGCGTTATCGAAGGGATTCTGCGCTATCCAGCGCCACCCAGGCTATACTCTGATCTAAGATAACACTGAAGGTGTTCTTTTCGCCATATTGCCAGTGTGTAAGGTGACAATGGTCTCCTTTGGCGAGTGCAGAATTTGTTCGCAGAATAAGCAACAGAGGAAAGGCACACATTCTTCATACACATATCCAGGCTCTGGGGACATCCAAGGATATGGCCAACTACATTTTTGGGATATGACCTCACACGTATCCTCGACATTTCCCATGCCATGGAGGCCCATATCCCGGGTATGCATTTCTAGGATATGGTCACATATCGGATATGCATATCCGGGATATGGAGCCCAAATCATATTCGATATCTAAGGTAGGGACCCTAACCTGTTTTCAAATCCAAGGCATGGCACTTTTTGCCAATGTGCAAATGACTCGCACAACATATCTTAACAGGTGCTCTGACGATTGGAGGATTCAAATGTGAGACCATAACAAATGTTGCAACTCTTACTATTTGACATGTCAATTTTGCGGGCTGGCATGGCAAATGAGCACCTACAAAAGGTCAAATATCTGGCACAAAGGATTTGCGTTGTGGGCTTAGTGCAACATTGTTGCTTGTTCCCCACTCATCGATAGACAATGCGGCAAAGCAGCCAATGTGGTTTTGTGCTTTGCTGAAGTGAACAACATGCAATTGGCTGCCTTATTGCTAGACAAGCCCTGTGTAAGATTGGATAATGACTGAACAAGTCATGTCCACTGCCACAATTGGTCAGGTACATTTGCACAGTAGACATTGAGTTGTATTATATTTGTGTAGTAGAAGTTCAATGCGGAAATAGTGGGCTGAATAATGGGGATGGATTAGAGACTTGAACATTGAATAAGCAAGCAACTCAGTTAGAGATGCTTAGGAGAAATGTAGACATTAGACAGATTGCATAACGGGATGTACCAGCATGGGCAAAACCCAAATGGCTTGGCCAGCGTTCCAAGATGTTTTGCAGAAAAGGTATGCACAAGTGGAGTGTCGTGTTTGTAACAACATGACTCTTGATACAACATTTGTGACCAGAATCACCATGGCGTGCACCAAAGGGAAGCCCAGCGAGGGTTTCATTGTTGCATTCACATTGCTGAACACTCACAACGCCGTAGTGGTATTGGTACAGATCGTGCTGATAGTCAATAAATTGGTATTCATTTTGCCTTACATTGGAAACGCACCATATAGAAATTTAAGGTCCCCATATCCTCTGCCATAATCTGAAGTCACTGAGTTGTGAGTGTATCCTCAACATCAACCTATGAGGATATCTAGAACATCGAGTGAGGGCTGAGCCATGCACAATGAGGGTGCGCGCATCCAAGATTTTTAGGACCTAGATCCCATATCCACACTATGATTATGTAGTACATATCTATATGTGTGGTGTGTCACACTCATTCAAGACATGTAGTTTTCTTTAGAGGCAGCGAAGCAGTTTCATAGGCCATTGCATCTTGGTAAAACCATGCCCAACATCGTCCATAAAATAATGGCATGATCATTGAAGTTAACGCAAATGAAAGCCAAAACTTGGGCTTGGTCGTTGATGACGACTGCGTTCGAAGATAAGTGTGGCAAATCCCTTCGTACACACAACAGTACTTTACGGGGCTGACATGCCTTCAATCCCCCTTCAGTACGCGCTCTTACCTCTATTCTAAAGATGAGTTGATGTGCCCTGTAAAAATTCGGTCAAACACGTCAAGCGATGCCCATGTCACCCTGACCAGTGACCCACTCTGCGCTTTCAGCAATTCATCGGCCCTTTGTCCTCCTCCTTCCATTTTCCTTACCAAAGCGCCAGTGGCAATGTGCCTATCATGGCAGAGTGATAGGTGCTAGCCACTCACCAACTAATCCACAATCGCCTCATAATCCATATTTCGCATTCATCTTTAACGGTCCTCATGCCCCATCATAATTGGCGCCAAGACCATCAAAGCATACCGATTCCCACACCCAAACCAGCGCAATTTGACACTCTATATTGTACTTACCATGGACTCTGAGTGAGGGAAAATGCACATCATTCAGCAACCCAAGAGGCCGACTCACGTTGTAATGTGAGGTCATTAGGATCTGCTCTGCATTGCCAACTTCACATGTTCCCGCCGGCAAGTCTAGGCGCCAGTCGGACAGATGACAAATCCTTACATCCCTAGGACTTGCAAACTTTGACCTCTGCCCCACTGGGGTGGACAGAGCTGTATTTGTATCTGGTGGGTATGACATGTCGTGCCCGCCTCTCATCACGAACTCACAATGTGACACATGTCATGTCCACTCAACCAAAATGTCTGTTTGTCATTACACATCACTTTTCAACCTACGCCACTATGCATCGCATCCCATCGCCATCACTTGGCGCCCTGGAATGCGTCAGCCTGCAACTCATGATACGTAACTCTGCACCGTGCACCTCATCACCCTGCACCATGCGCCTTATCGCATTGCACCCCATGTTGCATCATGTTGCACTGCGTAGTTCACCCACTTCCTCTGCGTCATCGGGCAATCAAAACCCATGCCAATGTCAGCCTCCCATGATGCCCCATAACTGCCATTCCTTCAGCCCCCCGGGTGCCGGCGACCGCCGTGATGGCTCTGAGCGACATCCTTAGTGATGCACTAAAAAATAATGCCATCACAGGCCTGCTCCCATGCCGCCTTGAGTCAAATGGCCAGCGCCCTCATTCAGTGAACAAAACAGAAAAGTGGCCACATATGTTGGTCATTTTGTGGGAAATCAAACAGACTTCAATATTCTTTATGAGGGTGGCAGATTACCTACCTCATGTAGCTGAGCTAGTGAATGCATTGATAGGATCTAAATGCTACTGAAACATGCACCCTGTGTACAAATTTATTGTCTTCAATGCCACCTTCATCTGAAATTGGCAGAAGAGAAATTGGTATAGTTGTGCAAAGACTGTCGATACTCATTATTGTCTGCACACAACTTGAGCCATTGCCAACAAACTTGCAACATGTAGTACTTCCACTTACTTAAGCCACTTTACTAAAATACCCAAAACGCCATTGTTGAAAGTGTAATTGATGACAGGTGTGACAACGAGCCAACTCAAACAACGTAATCAGCTCATGGTAGTGTTGTAGTTAAACATTGCTTTCACCCAATGCGTCAACGGCCACCCTCCCTTTTTGGCTTCCAGTAAAGGCATAGTAATAAACATCAATGTTGTCAACATCAATGTTGTCAATGACTTGTGTTTTCCAATACATAATATTTTCCAAGCAAACTGGCAGGAGAAAATGGCTTCGTGTGGTTCATTTCTAAATATTGTCAACAACAACATGAAATCCGCATTGTGTTTAGGGTATTTTCTATGAACATGTTGGGTGTACATGGTGATTCATACTGTGATAAATTCTGCAGCCATCAACTTGCCCCCCACACCTAGGGAGGGTTTGTCCACCTCAACATCACCCTGCCTCAAGGACAAGACTGCCCCCCAAAAGGTTTATCATTAATTATAGCTAAAAATGGCGTTTACCTATATTTACCCATAGAAAAGGCTAATGTGTTCATTTGCAAGTATTGCTTGCAAAGCTACTAGCTTTGCTTTCTCCAGCAATTTGCAAAGACTCATGACCATATTTTGGCAAATCATATCAACAAGAGAGGACAATTTCTATCTCTTTTTTCAATATTGTTGCTCCAACATAATAT